TGCTCGCTGATGTGAACTGCCAGAGCCAGTCTCAGAGTCTTCTTTCTTGTCAGTGTGTGATAATAATTCCTTGATTTTATTCTTGAGGCAGGGTCTCATGTTGGCCTCGAGCTTACTATGGAACTGAGGATGACCTCGAACCTTTGATCCTCCTGCCTCCAGCTCATGAGTGGTAGGGTGCACTACCTGTCTGTGCAATGCTGGGCACGGAATTCATGGCTTTGGGCATGCTAGGTAAGCGCTCCACCAACTGAGTCACACCTCCAGCCCTTGTGCCTTGGTTTTTAATCATCTTGATCATCTGAATTGTTGACACCACACTTTTGAACTCAGCTTAAAGAGGACTTTAGGGACTGGCGGTGGGTGAGTAGGGTGAGACTAGAAGGGAGGGAGCTATGATGCCTTCACGAGAGCCACGTACACGCAAACCTTTCCAAGGCAACGTGAACCACACACACAGTGACTCTGACCCCTTTCCCATGGAGAACAAACATTGGTGTGGTAGAATGAGGGATGAACCACCTTATCGGAGTTCCTGCAGAAGCTGGCAAGCTTGCTCACTCCCACTCTGCATCTCCTCTTTAAATCAGGACTTCCCAGAAGAAGTTTTAATCACAGAATCCTCCCTTGAAGGCAAATGTAGGCAGAATTCCACATTTAGAGCTGAGTGGTTGGGGACAAGGAGATACGGCGGTATGGAGAACAGTTTTCTCCTCAACTTCCTCTTTCCCTGTTCCATGTCCCTGCAGGCTCCCCATGAACATCCCACTGCCCCCTCGACATCTTCCTTGATCAGAGGACCCTGTCCTCCCCCACCCCGCATCCCCTTTGGCCGGCACAGAGTAGGACGGATGTTCCCAAGTAGAGAGCTGAAATTCAATCGGAGGCATTCTCTGGCTGTTTACTTGGTGTCTTATGCCTCACAGGTTCTGGGGTGCCCTCTGGCTGAATCCTGCCTCTGCCAGGCCAGCAGGCAGTGCCAGGAAGTGGGGCTGGCATTGAGAAGGAGCAGACACATGGGATCTGAATCCTGTTTGATGATTCCCAAGTGGCTTCCTCTTGCAGACAGATTCCTGGCTCTGGGACTTGGGGTTTCCTCATGCCTCTCACACTTTCTGCACTGAGACTGCATGGGAGAAGCATCTCGCAGGTTATAATGGGAATTTGGAAGATGAAGGAGAATATGGAAATATTGATGACCAAAAAAAAAAAAAAACCAGTCCGTAAAAGTCCTGGGCGCTTAGCAAGCACCCAGTAGAGCTGCTAACAGAAGCTGTGTTGTGGGATGTTTGTACACTGGGTGAAGGTGTATTTGCTGTGATTGGTGCAATAAAAAGCTGAACGGCCAATTGCTAGGCAGGAAATATAGGTGGGACTTCCGGGGACAGAGAGGACCCTGGGAAAAAGAAAGGAGGGCATGCCAGGAGACACAGAGAGAAAACAGGAGGTGCAAAATGAAAGAGCGGTAATGCCAAGTAACAGAACATAGATTAATATGGACTAATTTAAGTTACAAGAACTAGTTGAGACAAACCTACGCTAAAGACCAAGCTTTCATAATTAATAATGTGTTGTTATCTGGGAGCTGGCTGGTGAGACAGGAAAAGACTTGTTACATATGCCGTCCAATGTGAAGTAGCAAACGCCCACACAGGGTCTGAGAAAGCAGTCTCCCGGTAGGCTCAGCGTACAGAGGCAGGGTTTCTCTGTAGCTTTGGAGCCTGTCCTGAAACTCACTCTGTAGACCAGGCTGACTTTGAACTCACAGAGATCCGCCTGTCTCTGCCTCCCGAGGGCTGGGATTAAAGGCACGCACCACCGCCGCCCAGGCTGAGGCATGGCTATTTGTAGAGGCTGTGATGTGCAGCAGAGCACTGGAGAAGGTGGCATGCCAGGTGAAAATGCCTGCCACAGCGTGGACACCAGAGCTTCCCAGAGCTGAGGCCCGCATGGGACTAGGCTTTCAGGGAACCAAGGCGGGCAGAGTCAGGCATCAGAACCACATAGGTGACTGGCGTGGCTATTTATTTAAAATTCAGTCAGGGAAGGACTCAGACACGAAGTAAAAGCAGTCCAGACCAAAAAGACCTTTAAACCAGTACAGTAAAAAAATGGTTATAGACAGTCATAGAAAAAATAAATTGTTTAAAAATAATAAAGTCTTTAAAGAGAGAATAAAGTAATATAAAAAGGCTGCATAAAGATGGGAAATACACAGGGTATCTGGATTTTGTACAGCACTTTGTTGACTTTGAATTTTGTAAATGTTCACTTATGAACAAACAACAGCTGCTGAGAGACATTGGACTATAGAACGAGTGCTGAAATAAGCCAGGCTACGCACTCTAGAAATGTCCTGGCTGTAAAATGGGACTCAGGAAGTGTGTTGCACTGGGGGAGACATTATACCTTTGTTTCCATAGAAAACAAAAAGCTATGTTTTTCTTCAAAATTAATAAAGGTCAGCTTTGCCCAAGGGAGACCTCCTGAGAATCTTGGCTGCAGACACAAGGGAAACGTCAAGAAACACTGTAGGATGGGTGATGTGTTCTGATCCTGTGACACAGGACCAGCTCTGAGACTGGGGGAGACATGATGCAAAAGGGCCATGATGGTTAATCTTCATTGACAAGTTAACTGGATTTGAAATCACTTGAAAGATACACTTCAGGGCATATCTATGAAGCTGTTTCTAGAGATTTCCAGCTGAGGAGAAAGACCCACCTTACATATAGGCAGAACCATCCAGGCATTCAAGTCCCAGACTCGGTAAAAATGGGGAAAGGAGGAAGGGAGCTGAGTGTGTCTTTCTCTCCTTCCTGACCCTAGAAGTAATGTGACCAAGACCCCTCATGTTCCCACCACCATGTCTTCTCCACCATGATAAGCTATGTTTCCTCAAACCCCCTCCTTCTTTAAGTTGTTTTTATCAGATATTTTCTCATAGCAATGAGAAAAGTAACCAGGATACCAGGAGACTCTGAGCCAAGTTGCGTTGGCTAATGTCCTCTGTACTGAATGCAATCTTCCTGTAACCCTGCCCAGGACCTTCCAAAATAGAGAAGACCTCTGGCCCAAAAACAATCCATACGTCAGGCCAACAGTAGCTAGCCCCAAGGAAGAATGGCTGGACCTACTCTGTCTGAAAAGGGTTCCGCCTTATGGATGGCGTTTAGACTTTGACACCCTTTTGTGCATGGAAAAAGGATTTAAGTTTCTTATAAAAGGTATATACCAGAGCAGCCCAGGAAGATGTGGCATCCCCAGGAAGGTCTGCCATTGTCCCATTTCTCCAGAGCACTCCCACAGGCAACTTTAGGAGCACTGTTGTGTTACTCTCGTGCCCCTTTACCCGTACACCCTTATAGTTAGTACCTATCCGGTGTGGAGACCTAGACCTGTTTTGTCCTTGCAGCCCCAAAGCACTAAGATGTGATTGCTTTATTCTGTTTTGTAAGCAGTTCATGATGAGTAAATCCTGGGTCTTAAATCTCCGGGACTGCAGTTTGAGTGTTGTGCATTAGAACTCGTTCGTACTCCAACACACGGGACTGAATTCATGTGCCTCAGCAAAATGAATGTTTATTCCATATCAGGAACCCTGAGTACTTTATAACTAACTAGCCAGGTGGCCTTGAAAAAGACGTGTGAGGTCTGTCCTGGAGTTAGTGCCATACAATCTATCTACTTCCTAGGACCATTTTAGAAAGAAATCCTACAGACTCGTGGATGTGGATGTAAGGTATACAGTGTACTAGGTAAAAGGTTGACCTTAGAACCCAGACATAATGTTAAGGGTATGAAGAGAAGGGAATGCAAAAAAACTAACAGTCTTACCTCTGAAACTGATTCAGATCCTGCAAAGGTGAACTTTGTACAAATCACTTCTCCTGGCCAGGCCTCTGTTTCCTCAGCTGTACAATGGGAATATCAACATCCCCCGGTGTAGGATGACTAGCTACTATCTATCCAGTGTTAGAACAGTGCCTAGCATATAGCACGCTATATGATCCGATACATGGGGTCTAAGCGCTGAATGGACGTCAGTTTTATGGAGAGCACATCACTCCAGCCACGTCGGATTTGGTGGCCCCCAGAGTCCTCCTTTGCACCTGGATGTGAAGCTCACGCTGTGGCCCTTAGCGTTCTTGAGGGGAAGTTTGGTGGGTCCAACATGTCCTTTTCCAACAGGAGGGCTGGACCTCTCGTTCAGCCACAGTTGGCTGAGAACTCACACCTAACCCCTTTCCACAAGCCTCAGATCTCTCCTCTCCCCTCACTGCCTCCACCACCACTGACAAGGACCATAATAGTAGTCTGTGCCACGGTCATTCAGTTGTAATATCCCAGAAGTATACCTACTCCCAAAACACACCACCTGCTTGGAAACATGAGCACTCAACACACAGACTAGGAAAGAAAAGTCCGGAGGACAGCATGGGGCCTAAGAGCGCCTACGGGAAACCCTGAAGATTATTATTTCCCTTAAACATCTTCAAGAGGAATTTGCCTTTAATTTCCTGGTTGGAAACATAAAAACACATTCTTTGATTCTGGAATAAAATGATGACTTTAGATATATAATATATATTATATATTTATCAGAAATAGATTTACATCACTTTCCAACCTCCCTTCCTTTCTCCAGCCCCTCCCAGATCCCCTTTCCAAGTTGATAGCCTCTTTTTCTTTGATTATTATTGTTACATACATATATATATATATATAAGAATGTGTGTATGTGTGTCCACACAAATACATCCAGAGTCTTCTGAGTCTGTTTTTGCTGATGGTGTCTATATGGTTTTGAGGCTGACCACTTCACATTGAACAACCACTAAGGAGGCTCATCTCTGAGAGACGCTAATTCTTCTCCCAGAGGTCATTAGTCTGGGGCACTCAAAAAAGTCTTCCCCCTTCCGCAGGAATATGTCTATTGGCATTGCTATGATTTCAGTCTTGATCACGCCCCATTTCTAGGAGACTGTTTTTCTGTAGACTTTCTGGTATTCTGACAACCTTTCTGGCCCCTCTTCTGTGACGGAGCGGATGCAGGAGCTGTGACGTAGGTGTGTCCAGTGGGGTGGGCTCCCCGGGAGCTGTTGATCTCTGCGTGTGTCCAGTTGTGGTTTTCTATGAAGGGCTCCCTTTGCTGTAAGACCAAGTGAAGTGAGTACTTTTTAAAAAGGTTTATGGCCAGGTGGTGGTGGCGCACACCTTTAATCCCCGCACTTGGGAGACGTCAGCAGGCAGATCCCTGAGTTCAAGGTCAGTCTGGTCTACAGAGTGAGTTCCAGGACTGCCAGGGCTACACCGGGAAACCCTGTCTTGAAAAACAAACCAAAACAGAGTTCTATGTCCACACTGTAAGTCTACTCTTGTTTGCTGGGACAGTTGCTATTAACCTCATTAGTGGACTCTGGAGAGACATGCCCTGTGCCCAAGCATACCATCAATGACCTCTCTCTGCCCCTGGAGAAGAGCCACATGAAGAAGTGAGTTCTGTCCTAGCCCGAGGACCTAGCCTGCTCTGACCAGCCAGCTCGGCGAAATGCTGGGCCAAGGAGCTGCTTGCTGCCATCTACCCACTCAGTTGCTTCTGCAATAATTGTAACTCACCCTGACCTGAGATGACCCCGTAGCTGACCCCTTACAGGGTCTCCTCTAGGACAAAATAATTGAATTAAGTGTCCGCTGGTCCTTCAGTGTGTGCTGTCAGCTGCTGGCTGGATGGCCGCACTTTCACGCAGCAACCTGTCAATGACACCTTCGTGTCCAGCCAGGATGCCATCCTTGGCTTGAAGTGTAGATTTCCTAACACCAGATGTGAACTGTGAACGTCACGCAACAGTGACTGGTTCCCAGTATTTTCTCAGATGGCACAGAGGCCTTTGTCCTTGAATCACTTCCCAAGCCAAACCTTGGGCTCTGTTCCCCAGCCTCCACAGTTGCTCCATGAAGAAGTCTTAGGTAAGAATTGACGTAGTCCATCCTGAGTCTAACCCAGAAACCAGTAGACAGTCTCGGAAAGCCTCCAAGTCAGGAAAGGACTGGCAGAGCATATGTACCAAGTTACCTGGGTCACATAGACCCTGCCGTGTGGCTTGACTCATACTGTTCTCTTGATACACACTTTGGTGGAGCAGGCATTGCCATTTTTCTCTGTGGTGGTCAAAAGTCTTTTGGCAGGCTTTATCTTGTCTAACCTGAATCATAAGTTTGGTTTTGGCGATGGTGGTGGTGATGATGGTGATTTTTTAAGACAGGATCTTGTATAGCCCAGGCTGGCCTCAAACTCCTGATCGCCCTGCGTCTACCTCCCAAGTGTGGCCATGACAGGTATAAGCCGCTATGCCTAGCAGTAGAAAGTTGTTTTATTTCGTTTTTTTGTTTGGTTGGGGTTTTTTTCGTTTGTTTGTTTGTTTTTCGAGACAGGGTTTCTCTGTAGCTTTGGAGCCTGTCCTGGAACTAGCCCTTGCAGACCAGGTTAGCCTCGAACTCACGGAGATTCTCCTGCCTCTGCCTCCTGAGTGCTGGGATTAAAGGCATGTGCCATCATCACCTGGCTTTGTTTTGCTTTTTTAATTTAAGATGTTCTGCAAAATAAGCTACTGGTATTGTTATGCTTCTCAGTCTAGGTCTATGACATCACAGGAATTGAACTCGCTCTGCCCTTCAGCCATTATTTAAACAGTATCAAAACTAACAAAGCCAGCTAAGCAGGGCACAAGGCTCTGTCATGGAATAGCACTTCCTGACTGACCCTGGGCTGTGGTGATTGTAGTACAATTAAGACCTTCAAAGACAACCTGGACTGAAGGTTCACATCTGTAATCCTGGCACTCAGGAACTAGAGGCAGGAGGATTGCTGTGAGTTCAAAGTCAGCTTGGGCTGCAGCTCAAGACCCTGTCTTGAAAAAATAAGCAACAAAAATATCAGAATAAAGCAAAAGAATAAACCATCAGCAGTTGTGGTGTTGCAAGCCTTTAAACCCAGCACTCAGGAGGCAGGTGGATCTCTGTGAGTTCAAGGCCAGCCTGGTCTACAGAGTGAGTTCCAGGACAGGTTCCAAAGCTACAGAGAAAACCTGTCTTGAAAAACAAAACATTAAAGTTTATAAATACAGGATCAGTTATAGACCCTTGCCCCAAATAAAAAACCAAAACACTAATGTGCATTTTTATAAGAAAAGGAAATTGGGATTGGATTTTTCCCATGAGGAATACTTAATAAGCAAAGGATATCTATCTCCCCATCATCCACTCCTGTTATTCTCTTTCCTCTGTCTTCCCTCCATCATCCACCAGAAAGGAAAGGGAGGGAGAGTGAACTTGAATAACAGATGTGAGATCACTGGCTAGAAAGTGGGGGTCAATCTCAGAGGCCAGAAATGCCCTTATCCTGCAAAATGGCCTAAAGTAGGTCACAGACACCAGCTAGGGCAGGGAGGTGAAAACCCTCTGGAGGTGTGAGCCTGATGCTATAATATCAGAGTGGGTAGAGGATGGCTGAGCCTAAGAGAAAGGAGGTACCTATAGCCAGATAAAGATAGGTAGATGATAGATAGATAGATAGATAGATAGATAGATAGATAGATAGATAGATAGATCAATCGATAGATAATAGATACGTAGATGAATGATGGATGGATTGATGAAGGATAGATAGATAGATAGAT